AGGTGACATTGTCAAACTTGTGGGAAATCACATAACACCTATTGTCAGAACTGGAAAGCCCTGTAAGAGTTTGTACCAAGAGGAATCTTGTGGAAGACCTTTAGGAATTAAATTTGATCAAAATGGCAACCTGTATGCAGCTGATGCTTATTATGGTATTCTGAAGATAAATGTGAAAACAGGTAATAGATAATCTCCAGAGAAGTCAAATGATTATGGAATAATTAGATTCACAGCAATTTTTTTCTAGGAGAAAAACAAGTCATTGTTGATTCAAATCAAGAAATTGCTGGTAGAAAACCAATGTTATTCAATAGTATTGCCCTTGCTACTAATGGTGATATTTATTGGACAGATTCAAGCACTGATTTTCACCTGAAAGATGGAGTATTCACAATATTAGCTGATCCCAGTGGAAGGTAATGTAAAATGGATGATTCAAACATCAGTAGACCTTTATTTCATGTACTTATCCAACAAACATGAACCTATATTTGTGAATAATTCAAGTACATTGAGTGCTAATGTGAATAATATTTGAATATGTTGAAATATAAATAGGATTAGAGTTGTCTTATCATAAATATACATAATGAGGGTTTAATAATACTTTGTTAACATTCCATTATTCAAGTGTATTATAGGTATGTAATGTTTTTTGAAACACATTGTTGACAATTAATTTGATAAAAATTATCAGACCTGAGTAAATAGTACAAACATTCATTAATCTGTTTGTCTTGTTTATCACCACTGCATTAGTTGTCAGTTTATAAAAATAATTTGTCTTCAATCTATGTTCAATTTTCACTTGTTACTTGATATAACATTTGAATCATGTATTCATCAGTCTGATGCTTTCTTAGAGATTCTCATTCGATTCAGTCATTTTCTCATAGAGAGTATAACTCTGTTGCGTTAAAATCAAGTGTTGAATTAAATATGAATAATTTCTATTAACAGACCATGCAATGCTGAACTTTGTCCTTCAAATATTGGCAACAAAGGTCATTGGTTACTTGTTACTTTGACTATTCTGAGTTTTTCAAACAGATGTTACCAGAGTTATTATTTATTAAAACCTGGGTAGGTAATTTTGTGCTCATCATTTTATGTTTCTTTATTGAACATTGTACCTAGTTTTATCCTCTGAAAAACACGAATATCATTATGAAAATGTGAAGAAACCCCATTTATATAGATATTTCACCTCCATTTTCCGCCATTTTCTTCAATAGGCATTTACATCTACTTGCCCGTCTTTTTTCATCATTGGACACTTTGTACACTCATAATCTACCAAATGATACATTGTATAGTATACAAAAATTATCAAAAAATATGAATTTTTGGCAATTTTTTTTCAAATATGCTAGAATTCATTTCTACCGGCCAACGTTTCAAGCTTCAAATGAAATGAAGATTGAAGAAGAATATCATTCAGAATTCTAAATAATGGCGGGTGTAACGTTCCTTGAAAAGTAGGTCTAAAGTTCCTTATATGAGCACATGTATTACATAACTGAATGACCGTCAGCTGGCGTGACTGTTCAATAAATATGAAAAAATCACAAAAAATTATTTTCATTGAACTTTTTTAGTGAATTATTTCGCTGAATAGTGGTTTGTTCATATTTTCATTGTGAAATTCATGAAATACTCCAGTAACTAAAAACATTTTGTGAAAAACCCATCGCATGATGGTTGAAAAATTATCATAAATTGTATTCCTTTTTTCTTTATTCGTCAACCGACTATTATACAGGGTGTCCCGTGACTGGATGGCCATAGCTTAAGGGCATATTCCTTCAACAATTTTAAGTTCAAAGTGCCATATACACCTTTGTCTAGAACTCAATAGTTAAGGAGTTATGTACAATTAAATTACATCTTTGCTCACCAGTGGGTTGGTTCAGTTTCTTGGCCACCGAGGTCACCTGACCTAACTACCAACCAGAGATGAGCCGATCTGGAATATTAAGATTTCAGCTGCATTCATACCAGAAGAGACAGGGAGCACAGGTTCCTATAATAAGAAGAGCAAGAATATGTTGTGAAGCAGCAGGGGCACATTTTAAACAATGAGTTTGATCAAATTTGTTTGAGTAATAACTTTATTCAAAATTATCTTTGCTTCATTCAACACACTGGGTTAAATTTAATATTGCTCATTACTCCTCTACTATAGAGTTTTGGATAAAAGTGTACATTTATATAGAGCACTTGCGACTTGAAATTATTCAAGCAATATGCCCTTAAGCTATGGGCATCGAGCCACGGGACACCCTGTATAATAAATTCATTTTCATGTGATAAATAGAATGTATATTCGTTCAATTCACTTTTTTTTTTCACAGATTGATCCATTATGAGGCAAAGAGCAAAACAAACAGGGTGCTCATTGATAACCTCCATTTCGCAAATGGAGTCATGCTCTCTGAAGACGAATCATTTATCATCGTTGCTGAGACATTTGGAAGCCGAATTCATCGATACTATTTGACAGGAGCTAAAAAAGGCACCCGTGACATTTTCATTGATGGCCTCCCTGGTATGCTTGATAATATCAATTCCGATGGCAAAGGTGGATTTTTGATACCACTCGTCATATCAGCTGATGCAGAACATCCTAATTTGGGTCAAATTATTCAGCCATTTCCTCTCTTGAAAAAGTTATTGGCTAGACTGATGGGTATCACTCAATTACTATTTGAAACAGTGAACAGGATTTATCCTTCAGAATTTGCAGAGCGTTCCATTTATTACGTAAGTTTCTAGTCATGAAAATTTTCAATTTGTCAAAATTATTCATTTATTGTTCCAGGTCGGCAATTTTCAAATGTTTCCTAGGAGCTTGGATCCATCACGAACAACACTTATTCGCTTATCCAATCAGGGAGAAATCATAGAATCTTTATCTACCACTAACAGAAATATTCATAGTATCTCTGAGGCACATATATTCAGAGAACATCTTTACCTCGGGTCGCCATTCAACAATCACATTCTGAGGATTCCTCTATCTGAAATTGGTTGGTCTGATCTAGCACAGAAGAGGGAAAAGCGCGATGTGCCGGAAATACCTCAAACCACGCCCCCTCAAAGACAACAGGCAACTACACCCCCACCCAAACAACAGCCAACCACCCAACCTCCAAAGACAACACAGCAGACTCAACCTCCCAAACCACAAACAACTCTCCCCCCGCCGAAACAACAAGCAACGACTCCTCCACCAAAACAAACGCCGCCCCCACAAAAACAACAACCTACGACCCCTCCTCCAAGGCAACAGGCACCAGCGCCACAAAAACAACAGGTCACAACTCCTCCCCCAAGTCAGCAAACCACGCCTCCCCCGAAACAGCAAACCACTCCTCCCCCGAAACAGGAAACCACTCCTCCCCCGAAACAGCAAACCACTCCTTCCCCGAAACAGCAAACCACTCCTCCCCCGAAACAACAAACCACTTCTCTCCCGAAACAGCAAACCAATCCTCCCCCGACTCAGCATACCACGCCTCCAAAACTACAATCAACGCCTCCCCCGCAACAGAAATTAACGCCTCTTCCGCAACAGCAAGCCACGCCTCCGCCAAAAGAAACTCCACCTCCAGCACGACAGACCACTCCTCCGCAACAGGCCACGCCTACAGCTAAACAGGTCCCGCCTACAGCTAAACAGGCCACGCCAGCTTCACAGGAACAAAACAAAGAACAGGTGAAAGCGGTGCCGGTTAGGGATGCCCCAAGGGCGAAAAATTCGTAAGTAATGTTCATATGGTACAATGAGGGATCTCATTCAAATATTACTTTGAGAACTTCAAGGGTTTAAGAAAGATTTGTTACAAAGAATCTTAATAAATAAAAAACATCTGAATTATTGGCCAACAACATTTTGTTGGGATTCCATATTGTACTTTCAGATCAAATATCTGTGATCTAACTAATTCCACAAGTGATATTTCACTGAAAAATAATCATTCCGATTTTTTTAAATTTACAAGTGATAAGATTTATCATATGTTTGATTGAGCAAGGTTTTGTATGGGTTTTAGGGATCAAATTGTTTTTTCATAGTATTTTATGAATATTGCTCAGTTTTTATACCTTCTTACAAAAAAAATGTGATGGTTATAATTTGTTGCAGCTCTTGTTAGATGTTAATATATAATGCATAATAAAATTGTAAAAAAACAAGTCTACATTAAATTACTATTTTATTTTGGACTAACTGTCCGGCCTGGCTTCGCATGGTTGATTTACCCATTTAAAAATAATGAGACATTATTTGTCAGTCATTCTGAGCTTTGCGTGAATCTACATATTTTTATGCACTAGCGGGGTAAAATGCACTTTATCGCCCAGATTTGCGGGCGTAAAGTGGGACCATTACCGCCCACGGGCCATAAAGTGCGATTTACCGCCCCCTGTTCTCAAGTCCCTTATATCCACACATCCATGTGTGGAAAACGTATAGTTGAACTCTCAGGTGATTCTATCGTTACGATTATGATACATGTTATTGTTCATTTGATTCCATCTTCCCTATAACTTTCTTCTTTGAATAGTTGTTTTCTGGCTGTCTGATGACAATTTCAGCTTGTTTTTTGATGTATTGCTAGACAACAACCATCAGATTGATTGACAACATCAAATTTAGATCTCAAGGAATGAATCTCTGTTAGTGAACAAAGAGTTTTACTCTTAGGATAACTGCGATATTCGTACGGTTATTTTAATATGTAGATTATACACATAAACATTGTGCTTCTCTTGAAAACTGAATTCATGAGTAACATATATGAATTGTAGTTTGTTGAAATCTAGTCATAACTTGTGACTCGGGAAATAAACCACTAGTGCATACAATTTTGTATGTATCACGTGCGTAAAATGCGTTTATAGCCTCCGGCGTGTAATAGCCCTCGGCTAACGCCATCAAACCATTATTCACGCCGCAGGCCATAAACGCATACTTTACGCCCTTGATACATGAATAACTATTTTGTTATTTTTTTATTTTTTTGTGCTTACCTATAGCTGTTATTATAATATACTTACACCTATTTTCATTCTCTCAGTATCTTATGTAGTTTTTTGATTGTTTAACGTATAAGAAATTTCAAACCAACCGTCAATTTAGTAGTTGACGTTGTATTTTTAAATCATCCAGGAAACCATCGAATTACCCTTGAGTTGCGGATTATTTATCGAAAACAATTTTTTCTAAATGTTTTGTAATGTTCTTGAATTGTAATAGAAAAATGTGTTTTGAAGAATTGTTTTTCGAAAATGAGGATATTAGAAACTGTTTTTTAGAGAAAAATTGTTTCGAAAAAATTTCCGTTCAAATTTTTTTGTCGAAAAATAGTTTTCGAAAAAAAATACGAAACGCAATTCTTACTTCCGGTTGTTCTATTACCCGTCTTCCCGTAGGAATGAAGCATTTTCTCGAGGTAAAAAGTAGCCTATGTTCATCAGGGATAATGTCGGCTTCTATACAGGGTGTTTCAAAAAAACCTAACCCCCTTGCTAGGGTAGGTAGAACATTGCAAAATAAGTTGGGTTTGCTCAGTAAAAAAATGTCGTAACGCCATCCGTTTTCAAGATACAAGGTGTTGAAACAATATTTTTTTTACACATTTTTCACGATTATGTTGAAACTACTGGCACCATTGTGATGAAATTTTGTATGGATGTTTCTTGGAATCTGACACATCGCATGCATTTGTATTTATATCTGCTTCTCATAGAGGGCGCTAGTTACACGGTTCGTACCGAGTAGTTTTGAACATAACTTTTTTGAGGTTAGATTTTTCAATCCAAATTGGATGTGAACTTGAACATCATTCAATTTTACACCAAAAATTTACTCTTGGTAAAACTCGATACTGTGTTCCGTTTTCGGAATATTTCGATTTGAAAATGATGAAGTGGTAACTGTTGCTGGTATGAAGCTATGTGTTAGAGTGAGTATTATGAAAAATTATCACCTATTTATTGAAAACCGAAAACAACAATACATTTCTGATGCAAAACTCATTGATTCAACAATGAATCACAAGAATAACATCGAAACAGATTTGGATTACACAGTTTTGTTGTATCTTGAGCAGAAAGTCTATGCTACATAGGTAAATTCACGTCAAGAGTTGTGAGACATAATTGAACATCACTTAAATGACCTAACAGCTGATCCCCAACTGTTCAGAAGAATAATACATTCTTAGAAAAAGAATATAGAATCGTGTATTCCTCGAAACGTAGGACATTTTGAACACTTACTCTAACTGATTTAATATTTCATGTTTCTAGTCAAATATTTATATCTCTTAATTTTCTTCTTATGATTCTTTGTTCCATCAATGACTTCAGCACAAGAATAATTTTATTGTTTTTGAACCTGAATAAAGAGGTAATTGAACTCAATAAAATTCATTTTATACCAGCATCATTACTACTCCAACCGTGTAACTAGCGCCCTCTATGAGAGTCAGATATAAAAACAAATTCATGCGATGTGTCAGATTTCAAGAAACATCCATACAAAATTTAATTACAATGTTGCCAGTAGTTTCGGAATAATCGTGAAAAATGTGTGAAAAAATAATTTTCTCAACACCTTGTATCATGAAAACGGATGCCGTTACGACATTTTTTCACTGAGCAAACCCAACTCATTTTGCAATGTTCTACCTACCATAGCAAGGGGGTTAGGTTTTTTTGAAACACCCTGTATGATGGTAAAATAATTTTTCAAATCGGTTTAGCAGTTTCGGGGCTTATTCAATAGAAACAAACAAACAATCAAATATTTCCTCTTTATAATATTAGTGTAGATAGGACAGGTACATAAAATACATATAATCTAAATATTTTTGGCACTGTTTAAGAATGTGTCGTCCAATTTTGCAATTATTTCAGCAGGCAATATCGCATTATATTACACTACTGAGTCTCTCTGGGTGCCAGATTAATATTAATTAATTAATAATTTGTACAATACAAAACAATTGAGAATCTTCTCCCATGGGAGTGAATTGACAGCTTTGTTTTCTGAAATTAGAGAGCAATCGCCTACATTCCATTCAGTGTGAATACCTATACAGGGTAAGTCAGATTTTTGTAGCAAGAGCAGGACTTCAACAGCTCAAAGAAGATACCATTTTATACTATTTTAATATGAAAATCTCATATAAACATATTTGCGTAGGAGCCTATATTCCAATATCCAGGTGGTGTGATATTTTCATATATATTTTATTTTGTGTTTTGCCACTAAGTTTCAACATGGAAAAACATGGAAAAAGGGAAACAATCACAAACTTTGACTACCTGTATATTGGAAATGAAGCTTCCACGCATATATCTTCACATAAACTTTTCATTTGAAAAATATGTGTTCTTCAAACTGTTAAAGTCCTGTTACAAAATATTGACTCACCCTGTAGATATTATTGTATTTTAGATTTGGCGTCGATGCTACAGCAAGGGGAAGTTTCCTTCAGATGAATTTCCATAAATAAATAAAATAAGTTATCGGAACTCTTCAGTTTTATGTCCACGCTCTATAGTCGTTTTCATTTTCAAATTAAAGCGATTTATAATTTTCGGGGCTGCAAACTGTGACGTACATTCTGAATCTAGTCTGAATATACCTGATGGCACGAATATAGCTAGCGAATAGCTAACGAATAACTAACGAATAGCTAACGAATGAAAAACGAATGAAAAATATAGAAGAAGTAAAACTGGTATTTATGCATTGAAATATCTCGAATAGAGCTCGATCCTATACGAAAATATCATTTTATCAATATCGGCCTTATCGGCTACATTCAATGATACTTTCCTAATTTACTGCCATCGGTCGGAAGAGAATGAAGCCGACACCCATGGCTCCTTCCTCTTGTTGTGCCTGTCAGTATTTTGAGTGGTGTGGACGGACTCGAAGTATTAGGCGCTGTTGCAAGATGTAATCTGCAACTTTCCTAGAGAGTAGATCCGTTTTATTAAGGAACGAATTCATTAGCAAAAAAATGACTGACAACGATAACGATAGTGAAAAAATGAGAGATTATTGGGAATTATTCATAATACTTGACAAATTAGGATTGAAGAACTTATTATATCCCATTGCTGTTATGAAATAGTCATTATGCATTCAAAGAACAATTTCCGTAAATTTAGACATTTATGATGCCGGCAACGTCGTACTGGCACAGGGAATCGTATTCTAACTCTGTGTGAATGTGGATTTTCAGTAAGTACTTCATAGCAATGGTGGAAGAGCCAAGTTCCTCTTTTATTTATTTTTTCTGATGGGAAAGTTCATCTCACGAAAAAAAGAAATAATACTTATACAGGGTGATTCACATAAGAACCGACATAGAGCAGGGGCATGTAGGGGGTCCCAAAATATGGCAATTTAACGCAACTTACCTCTATACCAATTCTTGTATACTTATATGTTACAAAATTTGTGGTGTGTTATTTTAAAGTTTCGGGTGTACAAAACAAGTCACTATTCATTATTCATCCCATGAAAACCAGGGGATATGGATTTGTGTCTATCTCGATATTGGTTGATATGTGCCTGGGTGTGGTTGGCCTAGGATCAGGTTCTGAGCTGTGCAGAAGCCAATACGTGGTTACGAAGCCCTTTCCTTTCAGTTCGACCTCCCCTCGCAGTTCTAGTTCGAACGTACCGAATTTGTCGAAAATATGCCTGGTAGTTTCGCTGACATGAATCTTCAATGCTGAAAT